GGCAACCAGCAGCTCCTGCCCGAAGTGTGTGGGAGCTGCTAAGGGAGGCTGCGCTTTCCCCTGGCTTGCCAAGAGGATTTAGAGTAAGGCATGCTCGCCCTTTCCTGTTGCAGAATGCCATGCAGGCTCCCTGTGCTCCTCCAAGCCCTGCTGAAGATGATCTGGGACGTGCACACTGACCAGGGTTCAACGCCAGAGCCGGTAAAAGCTGCCTTGCTCCAGGGGGCCACGGAATGCCTCATCCTGCTGGATCGCTGCTCCGAAGGGCAAGTGAAGGTGAGCAGGGAACCCAGCACCGCTTCACCTGGGATCCCTTCGTCCCACCCACCCCAGCATTAGTGCTTGACTTGCTTGATAAATGACTTGACTGATGTACCAACAGGTATCTGTACACGTTTTGTATAATTCTCTTCCAGCAGAGAGCTGGCAGAGGGTTGGTCACACCATGAACCTGAGTGTGCCAGGGTGCTGGAAATCAATGCTTTTCTCGTTTCAGGTCCTGCTGGAAGGCGTGTACAGCAGCTGTGAGGAGAACCGCGTGCGGGAATGCATCAGGAAGGTGCAAGGGAACACATGAGACATGGCTGATCAATGCCTACCCTGCTTTTTGTACAGTAAACTTTTTTTATTTATTTAAAAATACTGTCTTGCTCATCCCACTCCTGTTAGCCCTGTACCTCCCCCAAAGAAAATACACTTTGCTCACCCAGCCACATGAGGCATCTGCAGCTTTAGAACAGAGCAGCAGTGCCCCAGTCCAGGCTCCTTCCTGGAGCACGTTCTGTGGCTGTAGACAAGGCGGGGAGCCTGCCTTAGAACTGCACTCCATGCAGCAGTTGTACAAGTGCCTGGGGTCGGACAGAAACCCTTCTTTTCCTAAGGAAACTCATTAGTCAACAGTACTGAAAGAGAAGTAGTTATTGGGGGTCCTGCATGGAGTGGCAGAGGCTGGAAGGAGGTCTGGGGACAGGTCTGGAGCCCTCTCGCTCAGTTCCAAGTGCGAGTTCAGGAAGGAGTCAGACTGCTTTCGTTTTGGTGGTTGGCTCTGTTTCTTCTTCATACTCTATTTCAATGTAGGGACGTTTTCTTCTGGCTGGGCCTTTCAGGGGAGTTTTCCCTTTAGATTTGGAGTGAGAGGCTTTCTCCTCTACTTCTTCCTCCTCTTCCTGCTCCTCTTCGCTACTTGTTTCCAACTTATCCATGTCCTGAGAAAGAAAGACGAGTGATGTCAAAGCACGCTGTGTAACTAAACCTCCTCTTTCTGCAAAATTACCTCCTGTATCTGATTCCATTTTAGAATTCCTGGCTCCCAGCTGTCTAGCCAGAGGAGCTGGGTTGTAGTGGATACAGTGCAGTCTGACTGTCTCATTTCATTCCACAAATCTGATTTCACTGGCTCTTATCCCATCACCAGAGACACCAAGAGGGTGGAGGTTACTTTCAAACAGCTTGGCCCAACAGTTTAAACCTGGGGCTTCACCTACCTCAAAGTCACTGAGGTCACTGTCATCTGCTTCCACAAACTCCCTTTTATCCATGTCCTGAAAGAAATAAAGTCGGCAGCTAGCACGTGCACACTGAGCACAATGCAGCACCATGACTTCCAACAGAAAAGCCATCAAGTTCACCACTTGCACACACAAGTTGCTTTTTCTGAGTCCACCTCCCCTCATCCCCTCTTCTCACCCTGACATTCAAACTGTGGTGCCCACCATGTGGGTGAATCGGAGGCGCTGCACCAGGACAGGGAAGGATTAACTGCGGTGCGGTGGCTGAAGGCCTTACCTCGTCATCTTCCTCCTTCTCTGCCTCAGACTCGCTCTCGCTTTCTGCATCTTGCTGCTGGAGAGCTTTGTCAAAGGCGTGAATGGGGAAGTTGTAAATGTCTCCATACTGGAAAGGAAAATGGATTTTCTGTAAGTTACGGGAAGAAGACAGGTGGCAGTGGTAGGGTCATCTAAAGCCCGTGGCCTGCACGGGGGAAGACCCAAACTGGGCTGAACTTGCAGCTCAGCCCCTTCCCTAGTTCCCAAGTACGTGCTGCTGTACAGAAAGTGAGGGGCTCTGCCTTTGGGGAAGCCAGTTCTCCGGCCTGTTACGAAGCCCCTCCAGAAGGACAGCATGCAGTCACCCCCCACCCCTCCTACATGGGTGGTGCTTCTCTCTCACACCAACACCCGGGTCCCTCCCTGGAGAACCAGCAGGACAGAGGGCAGCAGGAGCAGTTTCACTGCTGTGCTTGAAGGCAGTGATCCTTACTGTATCCTGTTTCAGTCTTTCCAGTAATTCCTTCTCGATGGCATTATCCAGCTGAGCGGCAATCAGGGCTTTCTCCTGATGGAGCAAAGAGGAGCGGTGTCAGTTTTTTGAAAAATGTGGAACAGAAGCAATGGGCAGGAGATGACGTGAAAGAGTGGTGTTACCTCTCTTCTCTTCTCTCGCCTTTCAATCTTCCTGCGTAAAGGAACGAGCTTCCTCCTGCAGGGAACAACAAGCGGGAGTGAGTGAATCCATCAGCCCCTCATGTAGCAGATGAGCAAACGGTCATTGGAGCAACAACCAGTAGTTGTAGGTGAGAGACGTGGCTGTAACTAAGTGCATTTCTGTACGCAGACTACACCGCAGTGGAATCCCTCCCAGCCAGCTCCATTTACCTGAGGCATCTTCCCGAGCCTCAGGAAAACAGCCCCGCGCACCGGGGCTGTGCGTGCCGCCGGCGACAGCGGCTCCCCCCACCCCACCAGTTGTGTCACTCACTGTCGCTTGAGCGTCAGCTTCCGGATGCGGATGAGGTACTGCGTGATCTTGGTGAAGCGCTGCTTGCACTTGTGCCGGAGGAACCGCGGCCAGTAGATGAGGTTCTCGTCTATCTCTTCCAGTGCTTTCTCGTAGTTCTTGCTCAGCAGGACCTGGAAGGGGAAAGGGTTGAGCTGTGGAGCAGCAATGGGACGCCTGTGCTCCTGGGAGGAGTCCCATGGCTCCCTGCCCTCCGCTGCGTTACACTGGAGCACACCGAGTTACCGGTCTGCGAGTCTACCTGACCTGCGTGGCCAGCAGGTCCAGGGAGGTGATTCTGCCCCTCTGCTCTGCTCTCATGAGACCCCACCTGGAATACTGTGTTCAGCTATGGGGTCTCCAACACAAGAAGGACATGGAGCTGTTGGAGCGGGGCCAGAGGAGGCCATGGAGCTGATCCGAGGGCTGGAGCACCTCTGCTCTGGAGACAGGCTGAGAGAGTTGGGGCTGTTCAGCCTGGAGAGGAGAAGGCTCTGAGGAGACCTTCCAGCACCTAAAGGGGCTACAGGAAAGCTGGAGAGGGGCTTTGGACAAGGGCGTGTAGTGATAGGACAAGGGGCAATGGATTTAAACTGAAAGAGGGGAGATTTCGATTAGATATAAAGAAGAAATTCTTCCCTCTGAGGGTGCTGAGGCACTGGCACAGGTTGCCCAGAGAAGCTGTGGCTGCCCCATCCCTGGAAGTGTTCAAGGCCAGGTTGGATGAGGCTTTGGGCAACCTGGTGTAGTGGAGGGTGTCCCTGCCCATGGCAGGGGGGTTGGAACTGGATGATCTTTGAGGTCCCTCCCAACCCAAACCTTTCCATGGTTCTATGATTCTGCTCTCATTAACTCACCCGCTCCCAGAGCCGACGGGGAAACGGTGCCCGCTCGATTACCTTCATGTACAGGTAACACCGACCTGAAGAAAAAAGGAATGTGATCCCAGCAGAAACACCAAGCATGTTCCCAACAGTGGGGGAGAGGGCTCAGAGCCGGGGTGCCCTCAGGCAGGTGGGATTCTCCCCCTCCCCACCCAAGGGGTTGTCCCACCTTTCTCCTCCCGGATGGTCGCATACTGGCTGTTGGCCAGTGGGCAGGAGGAGCGGTTGCACAGACCGGTCAGGTTATACTCATTCCGGCAGAAATTCTGGGTTTTTGTCCTGGAAAGAAGAGAGGAGAGATAACGGGGGAGGGCAGGAGCGCCCCGCTGCCCACCCGACCCCTCTGACCATCACTCCTGGCCGCGGTGGCACAGGGATGAGGGGAAC